GGCTCAGGCAATCCACTCACCTCAGCCTCCCAAAGGCGCGGGATTACAGGCTGAGCCACTGAGCCCGGCCCCAGGGCTTTTGATCATGAAAGATGGATGTGCCTAAGGCCTTTTCAGCATCAACTTAGGTCATCATGTGATTTTCCCCCTTTATGCTATGAATGTGGTATATGACATTGACTGATTTTCTTATATTCCTTTGCATGCTTGGGATCAATCCCACTTGACCACCAGGTATAATCCTTGTAATGTGCTGGTGGGTTCAGTTTGCCAGTAATGTATGGAAGGTTTTTGCATCTATATTCAAGAAGGAGATCGGTCTGTCATTTTCTTTTCTTGTGATGTTTTATCTGGCTTTGGTATCAAGGTAATGCTGGCTTCCTAATGTTTTTGTGTTTATTCATTTCTGGTTTTATAACATTTTCTCTTTAGCTCTTCCTTCCTCATATATAAGTGTTTCAGGCTGCAAACGTATCCCCAAGCACTGCTTTCATTGCGACCCGTACAATTTGATGTATACTTTGCAACGCTCGCATTCTTTTTTTGAGTTGGCATCTCAATCTGTCACTCATGCACTGCTGGAGTGCAGTGGCATGCTCACGGTCACTATAGCTTTGGCCTGCTGGGCTCAGGTGATCCTTCTGCCTTAGTCTTCCAAGTAGCTGGAACTACAGGTGCACGCCACCACGCCCAGCTAATTTTCTTTTGATTGATTATAGAGAAGAGGTCTTGCCAAATTGCCCAGGCTGTTCTCCAACCCCTGGGCTCAGGCAATCCTCCTGTCTTGGCCTCCCCAAATGCTGGGATTACAGGCATGAGACACTGCGCCCGACAGTTCTAGGTATTTTTTTATTACCTCCTTGCACAGAGTTTCTGCCCTACTCATTTTATCTCAGCGACACCTGCATTAGATGTTTTAGGCAGGCCCGGGGCAGGCACTCATTGCCCCAAAGCCCTGGAGTTGGCGGAGAAGCAGAGCAGAATTCTGACCCCTCATTCCCTATTTTTTCCTCACATAGCCAAGCCCGCCTCCACAACCATCTGCAGTTCAGCTCTTCCTTTCCTCTCTGGGTCTCTCTCCACATCTCCATGTCTCCCTGTAAAGTTCCGCCAAGGCTGGCCTTGCGGGAGGCGGCCAACAGTCCATACTGACCCGGCATCCTGGCAGGACTGGGACTAGGCTCCTTCTGAGTTTCTCTTTCACTATTTTTTCTAAAACCTTTCTCTGCCTCCTAGAATATTGTGACAGTGAGTCACAATATGTTGAAATGAAGGTCATAGGTGCAAGTGAACTGGTAGGACTTTTAAAAAGCTGCCCTTGACAGCAGAACAAACGTGTGAAAGGGAAGAGCCAAATGAGAGAGCATGGATGGGTGGTGGTGGACTCGAAATAAACTATTAAAAATACTACTAAAAGCCAGGCTTGGTTGCTCAGCCTGTAATCCCGTGCCTTTGGGGTGAGTGGATTGCCTGAGCCCGCGGGTTCGAGACCCGCCTGGGCAGCGAGACCTCATCTCTACAATAAATCAAAAAATTAGCCGGGTGTGGTAGCGCGCGCCTGTAATTCCGGCTACTCGGAAGGCTGAGGCGGAAGGATCGCCAGAGCCCAGCGGGTCGAGGCTGCGGTGGCCGGGAGCGGCCACTGCACTCCAGTCTGGGTGACAGAGTGAGACTCCAACTCAAAAAAAAAAAAAAAAAATACTAAGAGCCCAGTCTTGCAAGGAAACTTGTAGCTCAATGGGGGAGAACTATCTTAAACACAGAAAGCAGCAGACATGTATTTTATTATGTCAACAATCGTCTACATACAAATAAATGAGATGTCATTGATATAAAAACCGACTAGCAAGCACAAACCTGGTGAAGCTACTCTTTGTCACTTAGCAGGAAAACCTGCTTCTGTTTAGTTCCTGGGAGTCTGAAAACGGCAGTCCCGGGATGAGCTTGCCACCTGGTGGCCAGTATGAAAACTGCATCGCTGTGCCTTGAGCTTTCTAACCCAGCAGACTCCAAAAGAAAGTCTGGCTCAGCCTGTAAACCCGTGTTTTTGGGAGGCTGAGGTGAGTGGATTGCCTGAGTCCGCGAGTTCGAGACCCGCCTGGGCAACTTGACGAGACCGCATCTCTACAATAAATAAAAAATTAGCCGGGCGTGGTTGCGCACGCCTGTAGTTCCAGCTACTTGGAAGGCTGAGGCGGAAGGATCGCCGGAGCCCAGCAGGTCGAGGCTGCGGGGGCCGGGAGCGGCCACTGCACTCCAGTCTGGGCGACGGAGCGAGACTCCAACTCAAAAACAAACAAAACAAAAAGAAAATCAACGCGCGCCAAATGGTCGATTTCGTGATTTATTGTAGAGACGAGGTCTCACCAAGTTGCCCAGGCGGGTCTCTAACCCCCAGGCTCCGGCAGTCCTCTCATCTCGGCCTCCCAAAGTGCTTGGGTTACAGCTGAGCCACCGCGCTCGGCCTATTTTTTTTATTTAAAAAATATTCCCTTCACTCGGGAGGCTGAAGTAAGAGAATCGCTTAAGCCAGGGAGTTCCAGGCTGCGGTGAGCCACGATCGCGCCACGACACTCCTGCCTGGGTGACAGAGTAAAATAAAGTAGACCTGGCGCTGTGGCTCACGCCTGTA